CCTGACATTAAGTATACACTTTTAGCAAATTAGGCAGTCTAAAGGCGTATGCAGTGGACCTACAAATTGAACCGAGACACACTGAACAAACCTACCGCAAAATAAAATAACTTGTACTAAATTAAACAACATAATACAAATAACATACAAGCTTTGGTTTGAGACACACCTGACAAACATACTACAACCTTTAGTTTGGTAAAATATGCCTCGACTGAATTTTAATGAATTTTTTATAGAAATAAATCGCTATTGTGTCACCGCCATATGACTCACAGGTCTAAAATCACATGTAGTGTACAGAGACATGCCTGACAAACATACTACAACCTTTAGTTTGGTAAAATATGCCTCAAATGAATTTTAATGAATTTTTTCTAGAAATAAATTGATACTGTGATACAATTGTAGTGTACACTGGTTTGCAACCTTTTACTACATTTACTATAAAGTTTACTACATTTATTCTTTGATTGGATTTTAATTTCCTGCAATGGACTTGCGACCTGTCCAGGGTGTTTTCTGCCTTTCACCAAATGACTGCTGGGATAGGCTCCCCCTCCCCCCCTGCGACCCAGAAGGATAAACAGCTTAGAAAATGTGTGTGTGTGTGTGTGTGTGTGTGTGTGTGTGTGTGTGTATGTCAATTTTAATTATTCTTCTTTAAAATTTCCTATTCACCTATTTGACATACTGAGCTAAAATCACTTTTAATTTTTTAAGACACATCAATTGACCCTACTATAACTTTAGGTTTAAAAAGTACCTATACATTTTTATGGCCACCAGAGAATCGCTTCCATCTTACATGGCTGCCCAACCCTGCTTGTGACAATCTGTGCATAGTTCCAGTCCTGATGTCACATACTTTAGAACATACACTTGATCAACGTCTTTCAAAGCATCTGAATACTAGAGTGAGGTGTGGTGGAACTACAACCCTGCTGGGTGGTAGTTTTTTAGGTGTAGAGTTGAGTATTTTTGAGCACCCCATTTCCAAAAAAGTTGGGAAAAGAATTTCAAATTTCAATTCATTGGACCACCGGACACTTTTCTACTTCTCCTCATTCCATTTTAAATGAGACTGGGCCCAGAGAAGGTGACAGCATTTATGGTCCTGTTTATATACGGTTTCTTCTTTGTGTTTTAGAGTTTTAACTTGCATTTGTGGTTGCAGTGATGAAATGTTTTCACAGACAGTGGTTTTCAGAGGTGTTTCTGAGCCCATGCAGTGATTTCCACTACAGAATCATGTCTGTTTTTAATGCAGTGCTGCCTGAGGTCCCAAAGATCATGGCCAGCAAATACTGGTTTTTGGCCTTGTCCCTTGCATACAGAGATTTCTTTTATCTTTTAATGACATTATGTACTGTAGATGATAAAAAGCAACAGTTCTTTGCTATTTTATGTCAAGAAACGTTATTCCTGAATTGCTGCACTATTCAATTGTGCGGTCTTTCACAGAGTGATGGACCCCTCCTCATCTTTACTTCTGAGAGACTCAGCCTCTCTGAAATGCTCTTTATACCCAATCATGTTACTGACCTGATGCCAATCAAACACCAGGTTTGTTTTTTTTTAACTTTTCACAACTTTACCAGCCTTTTGTTGTCTCTATCCCAACTTTTTTGAAACATGTTCAAAATGCATGTAATGTAATGCTTGTTTGTATTAATTCAAATGTTGTATTGTGTTTTTACAAGCCAAAATATGCTACAGCCAAGGCAAATGGTTTTAAATGTAAAGACTTTGGTCTCTTGCCTTGCAAAGTGTTGCAGCTTTCTGAGTGCATTTCTTAACCATGTTCTTGTTCTGCAGCATCTCTTGTTTTAAGCATTCTTCTGTTTTGTTGGATTTTGATTGTAAATTTGCCTACTTTGTGCCTGCTTGCCGATGTACTGACACCTTCCTCTGATGACTATGAGTCAGATTGTCCCTAATAAAGAGGGTTTGTGCATGTATACTACCGCAGCACCCATTTGTTTTAACAAATAACTCCTATAAAAAAAAATATATAAATGTGAAGATTTTAATATTTTTAATTGTTTAATTTCTAATAATTATGACTATGACTGTTGACATACAGATCTACAGATGTACAATCACCTTTAGTGTACTTACGCATAACATAAACCTTTGGTTTGGAAAACATGCAATATATGTAAGGAGTTTTAGGAGTATGTTATGCAGAGCTGCGCCGTGGGCATTTTAATTTTGGGCAATACATTTTAATGTTGACATGTTTTGCAGTCCTACTAGAATATTCAATATATATGCAGTAGAATTTTCCTGAAAAACCTTTCTCAAGCAAACTACAACCTTATTAGCATACTGTGGCAGAATGAGTTTTTTCTGGAACAAATAATTTGTTGCACATGAACAACATACAATAGTCTGGTTGTCTTTATTATTTCATGAATGAAGTGTTGCTAAGGCATGTCCATGTGACAAAAAATTATATTCATCTTTAAAAAAACAAAGAAATAAAACTGACAAAAGTGTATCCAGTCTAAATTAAGTACAAACTGCCATCAGTGTATCGAAAGATGTGCAGAATTAAAATAAATATATTCTGGGGTACGAATTGCTGAACAGATGACTATAACTTACACAACACTAAGCTAACAATACAGTAAAAATTAAAAATTATTTGTTGCAATGTTTCTATTTTAAAAATACTTACTTTGCAGTACATATATCTTCCTGAACTACTTTTTTTACACATCCGTTTCACACATTTCACATTGCCATGTTGTTTCCTCATCAGGAACAGCACCTGGTATCATTCCAAAGCAGTCTGCATGGAGCCAACTTTTACAAGTTCCACATGTTATATAAATAGCCAAATAGAAGAAAGTGTGTAATAACAGTACCAGCAAATTTTGAATTCAAACATTTTAAAATTTTAGCATAATAATAATTTTCTGAAAATCTCTTAAAAGCAAAAATCAGTGAAATAATGCAGCAGCCACACCAGAAACCAACTATCAATATCTCTATGTCATATGGATTTGACACAGCGGCAATTTATTTCTAGACAAAAATCATTAAAATTCATTTGAGGCATATTTTACCAAACTAAAGGTAGTAGTATGTTTTTCAGGCATGTCTCTGTACACTACAAGTGATTTTTGATCTGTACGTCATATAGATATGACACAGTATCAATTCATTTCTATAAAAAAAATCATTAAAATTCAGTCAAGGCGCATTTTACCAAAATAAACATTGTAGTATGTTTGTCAGGCTTGTCTCTCTACACTACAAGTGATTTTAGATCTGTATGTTACATGTACGTGACACAGTAGGAATTTAAATGTCATAAAAAATCAAAAAAGGGAATGTGTTATCAAACTAAAGGTTTTATTATTTTTGCGAGATGGATACCTGTACACTACAAGTGACTTTAGATGTGTATGTCTTATGGACGTCTCACAGTACCAATTAATTACATATAAAAAATAATCTCTGCATTTCCACTAAGGCAAATTTTATCAATCTGAAGGTTGTAGTATGTTTGTCAGATCAGGTCAGATGTATACTTGTTAGTGTCAGTTATTGATTTTCACATCATCTTTCTATTTCAGTAGGTTTAAAGTCTTTATAAATAACGCCAACAGGCTCCTCATGTCTTTGAATGTTTTACGTTTTTAATCAGTGACATCATATTTACCGCACTTTACCGACGGTCCCTTACCGTTTTCGGCGCCTACTGCAGCGATCCCGGCTATTTTCATCAAAAGTACTCGGCGAAGTGGAAAGATCGAGTACTTTGACGAAATATAATGATTGTAGTTTGTTGTCTGTTTTACCACGATTTAGAAAGTGTTATTTCAGAATTTTTAAGAGGTTGTTTGTGAGCAAAAGGAGGGGCGAAACGCGAATATCCGCTGAATATCGAATATCAACCTAACTTTACCGACCTTTAGTACTAATGGAGTTGTGGTCTGAACAAGAAGTGGTCTGAGATCTCATCAGTGCTAAAAAGGACCAGAGAGAAAACCGAGTCCTCTTTGTAGTTCACTTACACTGTGAACACAAAATGAACTGAGGTCATTTGCAGTTGATTCCCTTCCAGGTTCACTTTAACAGAACTCAGTGCGGTTCTTTTAAAATGAACTGTATGTGAAAACACCGTAAGTCCTGGAAGTCTTGGTCCAGTTTTTTTAGTCTCTTCAAGATGCTCTTTGGTGAGGCTACACGAGACACACAGACACACATAAATTCAACTCTTACTGAGAAAAAAATGATGTTACAGCACACTGATTAACACCGATTCAGAAAAGTCTAAAACCTGCTATGAGGAAATAGAATCTAACGTATGTTTCTTTTACTGGACAATGGCTCCACCTACTGGCTGCTTTCTAATATGCCAATAGACTTAACAGTGATGTAATCACATCTCACGTTCAGATACAGTTGAAACATAGAGTCTTATCATGGAAAATTGAAATAAGGGTTTGTCGTAGGAAACTAAAATGAAAAAAAAACAAAACAACCTTTTTAAGTTCATTTTTCATGATGTCACAAAAACAATGCATTTACACATATCCATCCACCTCTGCAGCCTACAGCAGTTCAGCTCCACACACTCATGTTCAAGTTGTTTCAGTTTGAACCACATTCTGAATTAGGCACTATCGTTTGCATACATCAGGTAGCGTAACTAAAAGTTTGTTTAATTCTAGTTCAGTAGTTCCCAAATTTTTTACAGTCTCAAACCCCTCCAGACATTAAACCTCATGCTGTGTACTCCCTCTCGCTCCTGACACACACACTTTTTAAGTAGAAGAAACTGACTATTTGTCCTCTTTGGACTCTGTTTGTGTCTCCTGTTGATGTGAAAACTCACATATGAAAGTGCTGATAGAACTCTCTGATCATTGACGTGTTCTGGTAACTGACACTCAAACTAATCTGACTCACCTGTATTAGCTGAGTCTGTAAATGTGTTTCAGTTCAGTCAAAGGTGCACATTGTTCATGTCTTATTTCTGTTTTCCAATCCCTGAATATAAACTCCTTTTAGAAAAGCTTAATTCAGTGATGCTAATTGCACTGAAGCAGTAAAAGAGTGAGATACGGTCTCAAACAGTGAATTACATTTATAATGTTTACTTATTAATAAAACATTACATTCACAACTATTTCTAAAATATTCCACAATTCAATTATTATCATTATGTTGAGAATTAAACTGTTGTCATCTTAATCCAATCCAGTACTAATAACAGATAAACAGGGAAGTGGCATCACATTTGGCAGGTGAAAGTGAAACTGAATGAATCAGGAAGTTCAAACTGAAAAACGACATTCTTCTTCACAATAAGTGCTGATTTGAACTGCTGGATATTCAGAAACTCTGAGAAGAGTTCAAACACAGACAGTTCTGACTCTCCAAGAAAAGGACAGAGAAAAATAAAGGTATGTACTTCAGTGAAAGATTCATAGATCAGAGGTTTAGTCAGTGTGAGCTTCATCATGGTGAACTACATGAGTAAACAAAGTCAGATGAAACGTTTAACACTGAGAAAGTGATCAGATCAACAGCTGGAATACTGATGTTGAATACAATGTGTTTATTGTCTCAAACAAGAGGAATAATATTTGATGTTCTCTGATGGAGCTTGTAAGCTGAGCTGTAAAACAGGTTGAAAGGTTGTTGTGTTAACTGGTTAAAGCAGAGTGGAGCAAAAACCCTCATTCAGACAGAGCAGACAGTGAGAAACTGTGAATGATATCACTGAGCTGAGAGCTGTGATGATGGTCAGTATAAAGAGGAAAAGAGCTTTTACAGTCTGCAGATACAGAACAGTGTCATCTCAGGACCTCCAGCGTCTCTGTCTGTGTGGACGTACTTGATATAATACTTGTTTGAGTGAGTTTAAGGCAGCAGGCAGGTGTGTTGTGTTAAATGTGTGAGCTGAGTGATGTGATTTCTTACTGAAAGGTGTTAAACAGGAGGAGGAAGAAAATGGCTGAATCTTCATCACAACAAGCGAGAGCAGGCAGAGGAATGAGCAGCATGGAGGAACGACAGGACTGTAAGTTTACACAGCTCACATATACATGACTAAAATATCTCTTTTTGTCAGGATGACCTTAACTTTGATATTATCAATATCAGTACAGTAAAATCAAAGTAAAAACAGATTATTAACTGTAGAATGAAATGTTGTTCACATTCTTAGTGTCATGTTGAGGGTTAAACAATCTCAGTCAAGTCAATACAGCAGCAGTATAAAGTCAGTGTTGTGCTCAGTGCAGGAGATTGATGTCAGTTCCACAATCGGTATGAAAAATGTGCTTAGATAATTCATACAGTAAATTACTGTACTGTTTCATTCATCCACAGTTGCTCCTGACTCCAGTGGTCTCCTGTCTGAAGATCAGTTCCTGTGTTCTATCTGTCTGGATGTGTTCACTGATCCAGTCTCCACTCCATCTGGACACAATTTCTGCATGAAATGCATTAAAACATGCTGGGGTGACAGTGAGCAGTGTCACTGTCCATTCTGTAAAGAGGAATTCACCAAGAGACCAGAACTCAAGATCAATACAGCCTTCAGAGAGGTTGTAGATCACTTCAAGAAGAAAAGTGATCTGAATAAACCTGAGGTTCTTTGTGATGCCTGCACTGGAGTGAAGCAGAAAGCCCTGAAAACCTGTCTGAATTGTGTTGTGACTTTTTGTAAGTCTCATTTAGAGCTTCATTATAATGTTCCACGACTTAAGAAACACAGGCTAATAAACCCAGTGGAGAACCTCGAGGGCTACATACGCCAGAAGCATGAGAGACCCCTGGAGCTGTTCTGTAGAGATGACCAGATGTGTTTGTGTAAATTTTGCACTGAAGGAGATCACAGGAATCATAACACGGTTCCTATAGAGCAGGAGAGTGGAGAGATAAAGGTGGGAGTAACTTTAGACAATGAAACATCCCAATTAAGAGCTAAAGTTAAAAAAAAATAATAATTTCAATGAAATTAGGATAAAAAAGCAAAACATTCTACAAGTATTTTACCTTTGATCTATGAAAATAAAAATTGTTTTCCTCTCTGCTCACAGTCACAACTGGAAAAGACACAGTCAGAGGTGCAGCAGATGATCCAAGACAGACTGAAGAAGATCAAAGACATCAAACACTCAGTAGAGCTCAGAAAAGTGAGTTAAACATCATTTGTTATAACTATTTCAGTCTGCAGATTTGACTTGTGATTAAAGTGTAAAGTTGTTCCTCCATCAGAGAAACACAAAGAAAGAGAAAGCAGACAGTGTTGAAGTCCTCACTGCTCTGATGCGCTCCATTGAAAGAAGCCAGGCTGAGCTGCTTGAGGTGATGGAGGAGAAGCAGAAAGCAGCAGAGAGGCAGGCTGAAGACCTCATTAAAGAGCTGGAGCAGGAAATCACTGAGCTGAAGAGGAGAGACACTGAGCTGGAGCAGCTCTCCCACACTGAGGACCACCTCCACCTCCTACAGGTCAGTGTCCCTCTATCTGCTCAGTGACAATGCAGCACATCAAACAACAACACTGCCCATGCTGAGCGATTTCTCCTCTCTCCTGCTGGACTGTAGATTTACCCATCACTGTGCAGACCTCCACACACCAAGAACTGGACTGACATCAGTACTGACCCTCATCTGAGTGTCGAGACTGTGAGGAATGCTCTATCTGAACTTCAGAAGAGTCTGGATGAGAAGATCAGAGAATCAGGTGAGAAATGTTTGTATTGTACATATTTTTCAGACAGAAGTCTGTGGAAGAATCTTTTTTAGATGCTATATGGAATATAACTGATGAACTTAAAAGAGGTTTTGTGTCTGTTAAGTTTATAGCTTTGAAATTTAAGTCTAACATTAGAATCAACGCTTTAAAATCTAATAACTATGATTATTATTGTAATTAGTCTCAACAGAACTGAAGAGGATTCAGCAGTTTGCAGGTACAGTTTTTTTATCTCTTTATTATTTGATATGTGTCAGGCTCAGACAGAATTCAGACGCTCGCAGACTATAGGTCAGTAAAATAGGTTTATTAACAAATGGACGAACCAAAGTCAAGGTCAGCCAGTCCAAGGTCAAAAGTCAAAACATGAAAACAGTAACCATAAGAAGAGTCCAGAAAGCAATGTCCAAAATCAGAAACAAGGTCAAACCAGAAAGCCCAACAATACTGACAGGGCAGGGCAAAAGACAAAGTCGAAACACAAAGCAAAGGTCATAAATAATAAGGCAAACAGGCAGATGGACAGCTCAGTAAGTCTCTGTAAACAAAGGCAATACTTCACAATGAGACTAAGCTAAAGCCCGGGCTTATATACCAAACTAACAAGCTTATGGAACAAGGAATAGGTGTATGTAGTAAATGGTCATGCTAGGGAGATCAATGGTCATGTGATCTGGAGTGGGGTTCTGGGTAATGGAGTCTGGAGGCTGGGAGGCAGAGACAGTGGGAATGTAGGGAACTGTGACAATATGCTATTATATCTTATTTTATTATTATCATCACCATCACACCACTGGCCTTAGTGTAGCTCGAAGTGTTATTCCTTATAGTTCTTTACAAAATTTATTTTATTTTTCTCTAAATCATTCTAAAGTACTCAATACTCAGCATGATTCACTGGATAATAAATTCATTTATTATCTGTATATTCATATCACACACTGTGTGTTTCTCTCAGTGGATGTGACTCTGGATGCTGATACAGCTCATCCTGATCTCATCCTGTCTGATGCTGGAAAACAGGTGAGATGTGGAGACACAAAACGGAATCTCCCTGACAATCCAAAGAGGTTTGATTCATGTGTCAATGTCCTGGGAAAGGAGGGATTCTCCTCCGGGAGATTTTACTATGAGGTGCAGGTCAGGGAAAAGATTAACTGGGATTTAGGATTGGTCAGAGAGTCCATTAACAGGAAGGGGAAGATTACATTGAGCCCACAGAAAGGATTCTGGACTGTGTGGATGAGGAATGGGAATAAGTTTGATGCTAATGAGTTTCCATGCATCTCCCTCTCCCTAAAAGAGAAGCCCCAGAAGGTGGGAGTGTTTGTGGATTATGAGGAGGGTCTGGTCTCCTTTTATGATGTGGAGTCCAGATCTCATATCTACTCTTTCACTGGTCAGTCTTTCACTGAGAAACTCTATCCATACTTCAGCCCTGGTCTAAATGATGGAGGTGAAAACTCAGCTCCACTGATCATCTCACCCGTATCAAAGACTGAATAGATTATTTACAGTTTTCAACAGTGAATGCAATGAGAGCAGCAGAAAGAAACATTATGATTTTTCTGAAATCGTGAAAGTGATTATCTTGTGATTCTCTCCTTTATAAAAGAGACATTATGATTTGAAGGAATGTACTTCTGTGTAATGTGTTCAGTGCTGTATTATATGTCATTAGGTTCAGTATTGTGTGTGCCTGTACTGTGATTGTGTTTAGAACATTCTGTCTTTATCATTTTCGTTTATCCCTACATGGTCATATCTGTCACACCTGTCACTTGTCATGTATAGGCTGGGCCCAATCTTGACATTAGTCCAGCTATCAAACAGTGTCAGTCCATTGTTTTGCTGGCTAAATGTCTTGCACCTGCGCACAAGAAATAAAGCTCAATTCTCCAGCTTGCTCCCTGATTTTTGAGACAGGTTTGGATTCTTCAGATTTCTGATTCTGTGCTCAGGAAAAAGAAAAAAACAATGTCGTAAAATAATGAGTGATGTGTAATGATTTCACAAATGAACATTATTCTCTATTTAAAAATACATGTTAGAGTAGATCAGAGTCTCTAAAGTCATCTGTAGTGTCACAGATTTTTCAAAATTTCTGTAAAATTAACTGGTTAAGACTTACACAGAGAAGTTCAGAGAAGTGTGATGTGAAATGCTCCATTCTAAAGAAACTTACCAAACAGTGGCGGTGATAGCAACCAGACATCTAAAGAGTTTAAGGTATCAGAAAGTTATTACATGAAATGTTTACAAATCCTCTGTCTGATGCCTAAGACATTGTTTTATGATAGTTTTGAGAATGTTTTGGTCTTAAACCTTTTGGAAAATACATTTTGTGGTGTATATGCAGGGTGTTGTGAGACAAAATAGTTTCCAAACAAAATGCAGTTTACAAATTTTCCATTATTTTACCGTTATCAACTTTACATATAAAACTCAGAAGACACATTTAGGTTACTGGTTATTTTGAATAACCAGTTCACACAGGCAACATGTTATGTTTTATTTTTTTCCTAATATGTTTAATTCAGCAAATAAACAATAGCTGCATATTAAAATGTGTAGAAGTGTTTTTGTTCTGTACGGGATGTGTTAACTTATTTTCACTTAGAAAACCAACAAAACATGTAATTTGACTGGGGTGCCCAAACTTTTGCACATGACTGTATATACATGTTGTGTGAACACTGGGAAATCTGGGTTGAGTCAATAAAGCATGAAAAGTTGTGTTAATATAAGTGTGAATTGTTGTTACCAGTGTAGCTCTAATCCTCCCACTTTAACTCCTGAGTTAAACTGAGACTAAACTCTGCAGTGCTGTGTTCCTCCAGAACTGCACTCTGACTCCCCCAATCTGAACAGAATAACACAGATATCCTTTACTGTCAGCACAAACACACCCACAGTGCACACTGGGGGAAAAAAAGAGGAGCTGTAAAGCTCATTAATACTGTTAAATCAGTCAGTACTGTTTTTATATTTTATTCTGTTCATTCCTGTCTAAAGTAAGATTTAAGGTTCTTTTATTTACTGAAAGATAAAACAGGGTGATGAATGTTTGTTTGAATACAGTGTCATCAAATAGACTTGAACAGAACTGTTTCTGCTTCTGTTCATGAGTTTATTACAGAGGAGTCATTAGTGCTTAACAAACACAATAAAATAATTGTCCAGGTTATTACACCTTTATAAACAACCAATGAGATGGCAAGATCATGATGAGGACCTGTAGTTGCAGGGATGAATAGCAGCTCAGTCTTGCTAGGATTGAGCTTCAGGTGGTGAGCTGCCATCCGTGAAGAGATGTCAGTCAGACATGCCGAGATGCAACTGGAAACCTGTGCGTCAGAGGATGAGAAAGAAAGCATTAGTTGAGTGTCATCAGCATAACAGTGATGAGACGCCATGAGAGGATATTACATCACCAAGAGAGCTAGTGTAAAAAGAAGAGAGAAGAGGACCCAGCACCGAGCCTTGTGGGACACCAGTGGAGAGCCTACATGGAGAGGATGTGGACCCTATGTTACCTGATAAAAGCGATCCTCCAGATAGGATTTGAACCACTTCCACGCAGAGCCAGTGATTCCAAGGTTGGTGAGGACGTCCAGAAGGATTGTATGGTTGACCATGTCAAAAGCTGCTGAGAGGTCAAGAAGAATCAGGACAGATGACAGTTTGGCTGATCTTGCTGACTGGAGCTTCTCAGTCACTGCTATAAGAACAGTTTCTGTTGAGTGCGCTGGTTTGAAGCCAGACTGGTTGGGGTCCTGGAGCTGGTTCTGTGTGAGAAAGAGAGACAGTTGATTATAGACTGCACGTTCAAGATTTTTTGAAAGGAAAGAATGTCTGTAGTGATACCGGTCTGTAGTTGTTGACATCGGTGCTGTCAAGCATGGGCTTCTTCAGGATGGGAAGGAATCTTGCAGTCTTGAAAGAGGATGGAACTTCACCTGTTGACAAGGACTTGTTAAAGAGAAAAGTGATGAAGGGCAGTAGATCCTTGGAGATTGACTGGAACAGTGCAGATGGGATGGGATCAAGTGGTTGGGTTACTGGATTTGATCAGTTGAAGGACATCTGTGGAAAGAGAAGAAAAACAGTTTAAGGGATTGAGAACGAGAGGAGGAGGTCTAGTGGAAGGAGTGGGGACAGAGGGAAAAGACTGGTGGATTCTATCAACCTTCTCCTCAAAGAAGGTGATAAAATCCTCAGGAGTGAGAGAAGAGGGTGGAGGGGGAGGAGGAGGGTTGAGGAGAGAGGAGAAAATGCTAAAGAACTTGCGTGGATCAGATGCTGATGCTGCCCGTTTCCCTCTGTAGAAAGATGACTTTGCAGCAGTAACTTCGAGTGAGAACTTGGAAAGGAAAGATTGATAGGAGCGAAGATCCAGGTCGAGCTGGGATTTCCTCCACCTTCTCTCAGCCTTCCTTAGTTCTTGCCGGTTGCTGCACAGGACACCTGTCAGCCAGGGGGCAGGTGGGGAAGATCTGGAGGAGAGAGAACACAAAGTTAATTGCAGATGAGAGTGAAGACAGGAAAACATCTGTAGCTGTGTCCAGTGACAGAGAAGAAAATGAATCAGGATGGGGAAGGGTGGTCAGGATAGTTGAAGCGAAAGACGAGGAAGGAATGGAGTGCAGGCTGCGTAGAGAGGAGGAGCATGAAGGGTTGGAATGGACAGGAGCAGCAGGG